AAGAATGTATAGCCACTATACTATTAAAAATTACAAGAGATTTCAAACTTCAAAGTGCAAAATCAGAAACTGTAATGAGAGAACAGAGAGTTGCGTAGAAGAGAATCTGAGAGAGAGAATGTTGAATTCCCAAAATCAGTCAACCCTGGACTTTTTAAAGAGGTCTCATAAAAGTCACCAATTAATAAATGTCCAGCCCAACATATTCAGCCCATCTTTTAGTAAAAGGCCCAATATCATTGTGCCACTTTTTCTCTACAATGTCCAAGGATCTCTTTATTATAAAATGAAGTCCCCAAATGACACTTTGAATCGGATAAATGTTTCAAAATGAAGAACTCAAAATTTCATCCAGAAAGTATTCAAATTATCTTCAGAAAATAAATACACAAAAGTAGTTATAGTAATCATATATATAATCTAGGGGACACACCAATGGAGTGAATGGACAGTATTATGAAGAATGCTTAAATTTCATATACAATAGTATTGTTTTCAACAGCCCCGTGGGGAGATGGCCTTCTCATGTGATGTACCCTTGGCGTGCAACCGTGCTTTTGAAGTTAATCAGATGAAACTACTGTATTAGTTACCTTTTAATATGACTATTTATTTGATAAATTAAAGCAAAAAAATTCAGATTTGCAACTCTAAAGCCTAGCTGACATTGATGCTGGTAGAAAAAAATCTTGTTATTTGGACATTTCTTTGTCCAATTGTATTTGTGTTGGTCGAGGTCTTTCTTGATAATAATTGATCATGTTTATTTGAAGTCATTGATCACATTATTAATTTCTGCTAATCATGCACTGTAGGAAGATAAGAGTCTTATCAGGCAAGGCAAGCAAGATGGTTAAGTCACTGAAAAGCTCCATATCAAAGTTTACTGTACCGAATTTTTCGTCCATAGACAAAGATCAAATTATAGAAGATAATTTTTTTTTTTAAAATTACAACATAGTAAACTTAAAGTTTACAAACGTTCAATTTATGAATCTTCTCTTTTGTAAACATCTAGCAACTTTCGTAAGGCTGGGTGAATATGTCGGCAACTTAATTTTCGCTTCTACAATATATCAAATTAACTGTTCCTTTCAAATAAATCTGAGTAGTCCCAGTTGTTTGAAATGAAGCTTTTCATGATCTTCTTTGACAAAATGATCACAAACTATCACATAGACAACCTCTACTTCGATGGTCAATAAAGTAACAATAAATTGTTTCTTTGACAACACGGAATAGAATGTTTCGCTGGGTTAAAAAATTAGTCTAAAAATGGTATATAATTTTTTTCAAAAAAATTGCAACAAGATTCGTTGAATAGTTTCATTTGTTTTTTATTTTATGTGATTTGATATAGGAGTTTTTTGTTGCTAGATATTTGATCAAATAGTCCTCTTCAATACTTTCATATGTCATGTAAGTTAAAAAGAATTTTAGTTTATGAGTTTACCCAACAATGATGTCAAATGAATAGACACTCCAATTCAAAATTATTTTCAATACCTACAATTCAATAATATTGTCTAAATATTTTTTTATATGTATTTTAAGAATAAAAACACAATCGAATTTATTTTCTTTTATTTATCTGAGTACTATAATAAATTTGCAGAAAAGAAAAACCTTTTAGAGAAGAAAAAAAAAGAGCAATATTTTGTAGTCAAATTATAATTAGAGCCTTAGCCAAATGAAAACCGCACATTCATACAGACAAATATGCATGTTTATTAGCATTCAATGACTCAAATTCCCATTTGATTTCAAAATGCTATTAACCATTTGTCGGATTCCTATTCCAATCTCTGCTATATCAAAATCTAAGGTAATTTTTACTCTATGCATTTTTTCTGCAAATACATTTAAATTTAGTTGCCATACAAATTTTGGAAATTGTATTGTTCTTGAATATTTAATTGAACTGTGAAGTACACGAGTTGAAGAATTTTACCCTTAAAATACTCCACAAAATTGTGACTTGTTTGAGAACATGTTTGTGCTTAAATCGGTTCGATTGCTCGTTTGATCTGAAAAGGTGTAGCCTTGAATGTTGATGTTAAGCGACATGACACACAAACATAATGTTTCTCTTTTTTTGGAAAATTAGAAGCATTTTTAATTTCTTGTGATTTTTCTTTTCCTACTTTTATGCATTCAAAGTTGAGATAATCAATTTTGTGTTAATATTACTGTTTGCTGTTTTTGAACACAATTTAGGGCTATTATTTTGGGGGGTTTCCAATTAAGAAAGATGAAGGAAAGATGAAGATTCTGAAGAAACTTGATTTTGTGAATAATGCTGCTTCTGGGGAAAGTGGTTCATCAGTCGATTTCGATGTACCATTTCCTAGTGATTATAACGAACTTCTTCAGCAAGTAAGTCTTTTATAGATATTTCTTATGCATATGCTGAATTTAAGTCCTCTTTTGGTGTTTTCGCCACCTGTTATGAAAATTCTAACTTGTTCCAGCAGGGGCGGAGATAGGGGCAGCCATTTTTTTTATATGTAAATAAAATTTATGGATTTTTTTTTTCTTCTATGTATTTGTACTCTCCTGGCTCCGCCTCTACGTTCCAGAGTATCATTATGAAATAATAGGTTTTGATGAATCTTAAGAGGAAAAAAAATGAAGTTCCATCGACCTTTTTTAACAATTTAAGAATATAGGAGATTATTAACATCTAAGAGTCCATCATTCTCTTTATTGCTTAGGAATAGCAGTTGGTGATTCGCAATATAATTACTTCCTAAATTACATGGGATCATTGTAATGCATAACAGGCTAAAGCAGCAACTGTATTGGCTCTAAAAGATGACAAGCAACTGATGGTGAGTGAGTTTGTTTCTTTCTCGATCTTTATCTTTTCATAGTGAAAAGAAGAAATAAATGAACAATATTATATTCAAAATTCCAGAGTTTGTGAGCAACAAGTTTCTGCCACAGGAAATTGAGTTCCCGACTGCTGGATTGGAATCCGTGCCAGGTAGTCATCTTCTTTCCACTTTATCTCACAGTAGCTACCTTCGAAATTGTATTAAGATGTTTTTACACTTGCAAATGTCTTGATTGTACCAGGTGACGGTGAAGGCGGTATAGAAATGACTGGAAGTTTGCAGCTTATTCGTGAATTCTGTGACCTTGTCATAAGTCCAGAGAAAGCCACACGGACTAGAATTGTACGTCTTTAACTTTCATATAATATTCTCATTATCTAATGAAAAGTTTAGGATTTTATATCCATGGGTATGATAAACGATATTTTCTTGGAGAAATTTACGGTTTTAATATTAATACCCTTCCAAGTAGATATAACATGTTCAAATTCAACTCCAGAAAGTCTACGACTTTAAAACAATAAATACTTACGAATGGGAACTTGAAAACTGCATCTGGATAAGCAGGGGAATGTTACATGTTCTAGTAAGATCTGTAAACTTCTGGATTATGAGAAGTTCACCGTTCTTTCATTGTTTTGAGCATCTTACAACTATTGATATCTAAATCTCCTGGTTCATTGGTAAAAATTAAAGGGTATTGAATATAGAAGCAGTAGCCTTTTAGTGTTCGAAGTAGTCTAACTCGGGTAACAGTTGTTTTAGTATTCCATTACTTTTAACTCTTCAGATTTTTATTTCTATATTACATTTCACAATTATCTTCTCCAAGTAGTTTCTGCAGCCAGTTTATATTTTTGTTATTATTGTTCTTCCCATCAAATTCTACACTCTTACATACAAGTTCATGTTCATGAAACGCTTACAGAAATCTTGCAGTTTTTTCCAGAGGCCAGTGAAGTCACATTTGCAAGAAACTCAGCTTTTGGAGGAGCTTCTCTAAAATTGGACTATCTAACAAAGCCTTCATTGTTCGAAGATTTTGGGTTTGTATCAAAAGTTAAAATGTCCGACCGTGTGAAGCCAGAAGATGAACTCTTCCTAGTCGCCTATCCATATTTTAATGTCAACGGTACAAGCTTACTCTTGGTCTCTCATTTGATATTCAAGCCATTACTCTTTTTTTTTCTCCTCTCCAAAGTTGTTTATGTTGATCAGATTCTCGTTTTCAATCTAGAGATGCTTGTGGTGGAAGAGCTTTATAAAGAAGCAGTAGTGAACACTTCGAGGAAACTGATTATATTCAATGGGGAGCTTGACAGAATAAGATCTGGATGTATCCTTTCTTACACATTTTGAGTTGTTTTGCATAATTATACTTTGCTTACCTTACTGTTCAAAAGTACTTAGTTCCAGCTTTGGGGAAAAATATATATATATATATTAGACGATAAGTAAACTATTTAAGCTCAGCCAAACATGCTCAATTTTTCCATTTTAGGTGTATGTTCTGATCCTTGTACTGATTTGTTAACGAAGTTTTGAGTCCTTGAGGAAACGAGGGAGCTAGTTTTGATGGAGACTACGAAATAGTGAATCAAGAGAAAGAAGGCAGTGGTTTTCTTATGTAGTAAGATTATATTTGGTAGTGCTTTTAAGTTTTGAGTGTTGATAAGCTACGAGTCCTCTAGAATGTGTAGATAATATGGCATAATTGTTGTGGATCCTACGAAATGTGTGGATAGAAAGTACATTTTACCAACTTATATTATAATTTTAGTTTGCCAAACATGTATTTAGTAATCTCTGCTTCTAATCTTGTAGCTCTTTTGTTAGATGAAAAAATACCTCTTTAAGATTATAAAGTTTTCCTTGACTACTTTAAGATTATCCATCATTTTTCTATCCCAAACTGGCTGCACTTACCCAAACTTTCTTGCCTAAGATGGAGACTGTATATTACATTCACAACTTCAAAGGACGAAATGGAGGAGTCCTCTTCAGGTTCGTTACTTGTCGAACTCTTCTTCTCTAAAAGTTAAAGTTGATCATCTGGAAACTTGACAGCATATTTGGCAAAGAGAATTAGATAACGCTTTGATAGTATTAAAGAAGAGACTAGTACTGCATACCAAACATTATATTGCTTCTTTTGATGAATTTATCAAACATAACAATTCTCTCTCTTCCTCCCTCTCTATATCTATATGTATGAATAGATGCTATCCAGGTACTTGGAAAGTTCTGAGGAAAGTGAGAAACAAATATGTTTGTTTGCATCATCAACAAGAGATGCCATCCCTCAAGGAAGTTGCCCTGGAAATTCTTCCATCAGCGTGATTTGCGCATGCGCCTAACAGTGTAAATTTCATCCAAAAACTGTAAGAAAAATAATTTTTCTGGTTCATGTTTCTATACTACAAGATTGATTAGTTTAAAGGACTCAATTTCATAGGAATCTTGAATGTTATGTATGTCAAAAATAAACTACCAAGTTACACAAATTCCAATTCTTGAGTACCTAAAAGGATGTAAAATCCGCGCTCATATTTTACTTGCATGAATAGAATATTTCAAACAAAATTAGATCTTTACATTTTGGAGTAGAAAATTTGATGAACAGAAAACATGAACATATCACATCCCGATTTGCTGGGCCCTGCTGAATCTGATTCGAGTATGGGGACAAAAGCAGATGATAGTTCTAAATGAGAAATTCGGACGGCACCAATAAGCCTCTCTGGTAACTCATCTATCGTGCTAGCCTGAGTAATGTGAAAAAATTAAAAGCATTTTATAAACTCATTGGTTCATCAACCAAGTTTTACATAGAGAACTGTGTAATGTATAAAACTCCATTTCAAGCACGTCGTATTGTATAAAACTTCATTTGAGATATCATGAATTAAGACGTAAAATACCTGTACAAGAAACGCCAACGACCAGCCCCAGGACTCCATTTGCCACAGTGGAAGAACCAATATCAACGTCAATCTACAGAGAAGTAATACACCATAAGGAATTCAGGACATCGGACAAAACGTTCTTAGGGTCGAGCCCTCGGACAAAAGTAGACTTGAACAGTCCAATAAATTGGGAGGAACGTTGAATAATTACTTCCAAATATTTGGGACCACGGCTATAGTTGCAATCAACCACTTTCCCCAGTAAACATGGCGGTGCTTCCAACACTCTGACGTACTATCCATGAGCCCCAAATGATTAACAAATGTGATTTATAGTCAAGTGCCCGACATAATAAAGTTCAAAAAAAAAAAAAAAGGCAAAGTGAAGAAAGTGGTGCACATTTTGACAAAGGGGAGACGAGCAGCAGGGGCGGATCTAGGGGGTGGCCGCCCTAGCTGGATCCATCGAGACTAATTTTTTTTGTTGAGAATAGATAAAAGATTTATATTATATATCTGATAATTCATTTTATTTACAGTCATCCTTGTTAGATCAATTGTTGACGTTTCTTCTATTAAACTAGATGTCCCGGGTTCAAAACCTTCCTAAAGTGGATTTGAACATGTGACATTTGCTAAATAGATTTATCATCATGGCAGACATTAATTTGTCACACTTAAGGAAACAAAATAATATATGTTCATTTTACCCGTTTTAATACAAACAGAAACATTTTAACCGGTGATTTGTCCATCTTCTTGATTATTATTTTTATCTAATAAATTTATTTGAGAGTTTGGTCAATTAATGACGAATGAATTTGTAAAAAAAAAAAAAATGGCCTTAGTGTCATAAGGAGACTTTCAACAAAACTTATTTAATTAATAGAAAGTTCCACTTTTCTTTCACAAAAAAAGTCGATTGCGGAAAATTGAAATCACACAAGCACATAAAATTGATATAAGCACATAAATAATTTCAACTTTGTTAATATAATAATGGTTGTTTAATTAACTTTAATTGTAAACTGAATATTGATATTTTGTTAATATATATTGCATGTTTGATTGAAAAATAAATTAGAACATTTTCCAGATTATATAACGATTTTTTCATCCGAAATAAAAGTTGGTACCTAGTTCTAGTTCTAGTGGTGTATTTAGTTCTTCTAGTTCTAGTCCGTACGATTTTTTGAATATTAAATTAAATATTAATAAACAACATCGCTGTCACGGACGTTGACCGTTGACCGTAAGCATTCAATATTCGCCGTCCGCCCTAACTGAACTCGAGCCCTGAATTTGCCCCTGCGAGCAGGAGTTTACCTTGGGAACCGATGGAATAACATTCAGTCTACTATTGCGAAACTCATCATCTCCATTAACAAATCGTTGTAAAAGAGATCCAGATATTAGTTTCTTTCTCACAAAATAGAGAACCATTGATCCAGGTACCTTGAGGGAGGAAGATAAACGTTATCACATCTCTCAAACCCAACAGCTAATTAACTAGAATTGAAATCGAATGGACTATTAACTTACTCGCAAATTAAAAAAAAAATTGTGAAAAGTCCTTTTAACTGATGCAATCATGCAACCTACAACAGGAAAATGAATAGGACGTCAATTGTTATAATACCCTCACTATGCAATAGTTGAAAAAATGAATATTATGACAGTATAGTGTAGGCAAACGACAAGCTAAGCAGATTAATTGAAAGAAAAATTGCTTGCCGCTAGAGAAACTTACTTGTGCTGCACAACCACGATATCTGGCAACGTGGTCCATTCGTTTGGTATCCGTTAAGAACTAAGGTTCCATCTTAAAATGTCAACATTGTAAAGAGGAGTAACCAAATTCTTTATAAGCTGGTATATGTTTATATCTTCATTCGATGTGAGATTCTATCCCTTAACATGTCCCCGCAAGATATTGACTTGTTTGACTAAACCAATCTTGAAATCCGTATGCTCACTTTTGGAGTCTTAACCGGATCGAATTGCTCGTTAGAACTTAATGGGCTCTGATACCATGTTAAGAATTGAGGTTCTATCTTAAAATGTCAACATTGTAAAGAGGAGTAACCAAATTTTTTATAAGTTGGTTTATGTTTACATCTTTATTCGATATGGGATTCTATCCCTTAACAGTATCTTTGAGCCAGTCTACTACAACAAGATCCATAAGATGTTTACCTGCAGCGATCTTCAAAAATAGGTTCCAAATCAATATAAGAGGAAATCAAGAAAATTTTGGCCACTAAAAACCATGTATCTGCGGTTAACAAGGAAGAAATTGAATACCTTGGATTTGTCATGGCAAAAATTCTTACTACGAACTCTGAAGTTGTTTCCATCGGATAATGTTCAGCAGTCCTTATCATTGTCATCACGGTGAAGGTTACCCGAGAAAATGGACAAATCAGTTTGGTCTATGGGTTCTTCTTCGTAGGCTTCGAGTTGCACACATCATTGTAAGTAGTTCCAAGTGTGTATACCATGGATATATTGAACAAAATATGCGCATCTCAGATGGCTCAAGTGAAGTTGTTAGTCTAATACCCCTTCTCAATATGAGCTCGCACAAATCCTGGTTGTGGACCACTATTCTCATGCTGCCTAGAACGGAATAACACAACTGCAGGAGGCAAGGATGAGGCAAGGACACTTTAAAAACACTGAAAGCAAAATAATTAAATTATTTGTATCAGCAGTATTAGCTAGGCATGTCGTTAATTAAGTGCGATCCGAAATGATAATTTTGAAATCAAATATCAACAAGCTGAAGATATTTTATTAAAATCGAGTAGGATATGCTAAAAATTAAATTCATACACTTACAATTAGTCCTTCAACTCTTTCTAGCCTTTGATTTTCACCCAAGAAAAGTAACAAAAGAAACTGGATCTTACAAATTTGTATCTTTTCCATAAAATCCCCCAAGTGGAGTCGAGATTCTCGACTTTATATAATTCAAGTAATATGCCTCCTACGAAAAATTACAGATTTTAAAAAAAACCTAATTTTCTCTCTCCTAAAACCTAATTTTCTCCCCCTTCTCTCTTAGCCCCTATTTGCCCCCCATTAAATTAAATTTTTGGGGGGTAAACAATTTTTAGAATAGTGATTGATGGGAGATTTGCGGTTGAAAAGTTTTTGATTTGTGTGTATTATTATTTTATTTGATAAATGTATGGTTGAGATGAAGAGAGAGAAAAAATTAATGTAATGGAATGTAATATAATGGGGGCCAAACAGGGGCTTAAACCTCCTGTGCGTGCTCGTTTGGGGGAGGGAGCTTCGGCTTCCTCCTCCCCCCTTCTGTTCCTTTTTTTTCTTTTTTTCTTTTGTATGTTCTCTTGCGTCTTTTGCAGGCATGTTGATGGAGTGTTGGGTAGTGGTGATGGTCTTGGATCTGTCCGGGGCTGGTGGGGCGTCTCTGCCTTCTTTCTCCTCAGTGGCGGTGTAGTTCGACCGGCCTGATCAAGGTATGGGCTGGCTCCGTGCGGCCTACCTCCGCTTGTGGGGGTTGAGTTTTCCGCGAGTGTAGCTGGGCCTCGGTCTGGGTGTGGTTTTTCGTGCTGCCTTGTCGCCGGTGTGAGCAGAGGGGGGAGGTGCC